ATAAAAAATATATAAATATAAATAATAGAATAATATAAAATATCTATATTCCTTCCTTTCCCAAGCATAAACACTGAACAAGTTCAGCAACAGAAAGGAATGAAGTATTGTCTCTGCATCCTCACATCTAGAGTAATTCCACACAAAGACAAGGACACACGTGGAGTTGAGATGAGTCTGTTCAGTCACCATATTAGGCCTTTTGACTGCCCACTCTGCACACTCACCAGTAAGGTGGCAGCCCAAACCTGAGAAGCCCCTTTCTCGAGGGCCTTTGTCACATAACATCTGCTGGAAGGTTGGTGCCTTTGAATCCACTCAGTATTTCTTTAGGAGGACTAGAATTTGTCATCTGAGTGTTAAATCTCACATCATACTTACTGTGTTCTCCTTTCAACCCTTCGTACCCTCACTCACTGTTTACAATGGAATCAAAGAGGCAGTGTTTTTCCTTTAAAGAAAAAAAGCCTTAAGAGCAGTACTCACCATTTCTTTGAAAAGGCACATTGGTGTAAGCTCTGCTGAAGTAATCATTGAGGACCCTTCTGAGTAGGTCTAAGGTGATGTAAGCAAGGCTTGTGTAGACATAACAAGCAATAGCTAGGATCACTGTGTAAGAGCCTACTATTCCAGAGGCCAGTATGTTCAGCTAGAGGAGATAAAAAACCAGCTTTAGGAAACCGATAAACATTCTTTATTCCTCACTTCCTTAAGGCAGTATTTTGTATCGGTCTGTCTACAAGAAATTGGCTGCACACACCTGTTATCCAGACATCCTGTCAAGACAGCAGCAGTCAACTAAATGCAAGTGTTAATGGATGCTACGTGCAACATTGCAAAGAGTCATTCCTTTGCTTGTGGACCACTTAGCACAAGTAGTCCTGAACAGAAATTCCCTAGAGCTGGTCCTGCGCTGAGCTTCATGAAGCTGTGTTAAGTTTTCTGTACACATCCCGCAGGACTGCATTTTGCATTAAGTTCAACACGCTTTCCTCCCTCCTTCTGAGGTGACAGCGCAGATTACTTACAATTCTTGGACAGCCAAAAAAAAGCACTGGAATCATCAAGGCTACAGAAGAAAAGGTCACCCAGAACACCACATCGTCACGGAACACCCTGTAGTCTCCTGCAAAGACACCATATTCCACATGTAATTTACTAGCTAGTAAAACATTTCTTCTTCGCAAGTGGTTGGGGGTGAGCTTTTTTCCCCAAAGATTCTGTAGATTAAAAAATATCTGGAGCACAGTCTTGAAAAGCTTAGCTTTTGAGCTCAAATGCTGATTGTTTAAGATGCATTGTATCAGTCGCTCAAAACAGGAACAGAAAGAGACTGTCCCAGTTGAGCACAGGTCCAGTAGTCTAAGTTGGGACAGCAGATCTTGTCCACAAAGCAAAGATTCTTGGTGAGGTATATGTTACTCATCTGTTGATAATGAAAAGTACCAGAGTACTTCTGCCCAATAAGAAACCATTTTGTCACCTGTATAGGTTTATAATCTATAAACCTGCATTTATGTAAGTTTGACTCTAGAGTATGGTGCAAGTGCAGCCATCCCAACACAAGGCAACAAACTCTTCTGGCTTTAGGAAGAGTAATTAAGTCACTCAAACTACTTTGCTTTCCCTGCTTTCTAAAGCTTGCCAATTAAACTGAAGAGATGAGCTGACCCCCAGCTGAGTTACTGTTTTACTTTAATGAAGAGCAACCAGGGATTGCATGGATTATCACAGAATTGTGCCTTGAGTCAAACAGATGACTGGAGAATGAAAAACTGTCTCACCAAGGGATCTTAAGCAGAAGAGTTTTGAGATTTAAAATTACAATAGAGAAAGCAGTGTGGCTAACGCTCTGATGTCACAGAGGGATTTCAGCTCAGCAGCCTTGCTTGCTTTTAAGCAATTTGTCTATTGTTTCTCTCTTAAAGTCATTCTAAAGACCCTGATGATGTCAATCCAGCTGCAAGCGCAAGTTTGACTCCTACAGCGCAGTGCTCCCAGAGCCTTGCACTGTAGCACAGTAAAAGGTAACAGCAAGAGCTTCTCTTAATCCATGATGCCTTTACACCTGAAGGCTCCAAGTTAGATGGCAGATTTTCTACTGTGACTTGTTCTGGATAGAGAGGAAGACAGACAGCAAGTGTGTGCCTGGAGCAGAGCTGGTGTCAGGCTGCTGAGAGGACACACAGCTTGGGTAGGAAGAGCCTCAGCAAGTTCTCTGCAGAATAAGCAGTTTGCTTTTCCCACCAGTGCAGACTAAATAGTTTTAATTACAGCACACCTGAAAGAAGACTTCAGCTACATCTCTACTCCTCTCAACCCTGGAAAGGGAAAGTTAAACATTACACTAAGATAGACCAGATACTGGCATTCATCTTAGAGCCTTGCAGTGTCCCTGTAATACAGGGGGAACACATCACTCAATAGCCAGCACTTTTCAGCTGAGTATTTCAGTACATACCTAGTGGAGTAAAGAAGACCATCGATGAAAAAAGAAATCCCAGCACAAGCCCAGTAATAAACATACAGAGCAAGACAGAGCCAAATCTCCACCAGCTTGCAACCAGGAAAAGTCCTCCAACAATTCCAGCTACTGCTGTCAAAATAAGACGCACTGAAAAAGAAGAGGGGAAATTCCAACACTCTGAAGAGTTCAGTTATTGCAGTAAGATATTCAGCAGCTTTACTTACATGCCTGATTTCTCAGGAAGTTTTCATTAAGTAACAAAGACAAACAAGAGTATCAACTCAGGATGTGGTACTGAAAGAGTGGCATAGGACTGGAATGAAAGTGTTGCTACTATGTACATTAATACCTTGAGTTCCCAGGGCAATTATGGTTGCAATAGGTAATACACATGTATCAAAAATGTAACTATATGAGGTAAGATGCAGACAGAAAGAACTAATTCTTGCTACTCTAACAAGCAGGGTGCAGATCATCTACTTCCATTTTACAGATAAAAATCTGCATTTGATCTGAAACTGAGGTCTACCTGTTATGAAAGAAGTAGGAAGGAATTACGTTGCAAATTTCCAGAGTTTCTAAAAATCTGTATCTTCCTTGGATAGATACTCAAATTTGTCTTTTATAGTTGCAGCTATTAATTCTGCATCACTATTAGATGTTGGAAGCAACAGTTACTCTATTGCACATTCAGCTATTATGGTAATCAGAGCTCAGTTGAAGTACCCAGGTATCATCCTCTTATCCTTCCTAAGGCTGGCCAACAACAACCACAACTGAGGAATCCCTTAAGTAAAATCTAACAACAGTATTTTGGGAAGAGTGTAGGGTATCCCGAGACACCTACTCACCATCATAACCAAGGCCAGTTACCCTCGTAATGAATACAAAGAAGAAGAATGCTGCAAATATGAAGCCCATGAAGAATAAGTCTAGAGAAGAAGGAAGAAAAGAATTAGTATGCTGTCATACCACTTCATACCAAGCCCACTTCAGTACATCTTCAGACATCTTCATGTTACAACAGGGAAAGAACATATCAGATCACTAGCTGAGAAGCACAAAAGGAAAGCCAAACAACACTTTGTTCTGCAAAGGGGTGTCCTCAAGCATTTCAAATAGTCAAAAAATTACATATTTATATCTCTATTGCTCAGCATGCACCGTGGTTCTACGCTTCTATTCTTTGCAAACCAGAAACTTCTTGCTCTGCGCTTAAAAGCTCGGATCCTGTAAAAGTAAAGCAGTGCACCTAATTGGCACGTAATCGGTATCAAGTCAATCTTAGTAATAACACCACCATTCTAAATTAGAGCAAGTTACATTTATGAAATTCCAACCAGACTTACAAGAAGAAAAAAACCCCAAACATTCAATACCTGTTTTCCAGAATCTGTGTCCAAAAAAGCAAGTGAAAAGACCAAGAACAGCAAGAGCAGTGAAGAATATTTTGGTAGAGAGTTTACCTACAATGAGAAAGAAAGGTTTACTAGGGAATTCCACCTAGTAGTCCCAACAGTGAGACTAAGGTAAGATCAGGTCGCTGTCACTGAGTCTACTGATAATAGCTGCCACTCCTTCAGACACACCACGTGAGCAGATTTGCAACGCCTGAACTAACAGTTATCTTGATAGGATCTCTAACAGAATACTGAAGTAGTTCCAGACCAATTAAGAAATCAGGAGCTTCTTCCTTATTCAGAAGACTGAAGTTTCTGTAACCAATTATTTAAGTAGCTGTAACTTGCTGTTTATAATATGGTTACAGTTTTACCGGAAAATTCTCTGCTCAGCTTTTAAAAAAATGGACATTCAATCATCTATAAAAATCAGTGCTACAGGATTAGTGACCCAGGCAGCAGCTATAGTCTTTATCACTGCAGCCTTCACTTTAATCTCCCTTTAAGATATTTGCCATGCAACAGAAAGGACAGTCAGCATCCCAGTATGGCTCACCTCTGTCTCCTAGGCAAAATTCTTACTGGTATTTAAGCTATTTGAAAGAGTAAACCACATTTTCCTAGTTCTCTGACTCAGAGAAGAGAGGGTTAGCCTACATAATTTGTCTCATGTTGTCATAAGACAACCTCAGCTTTTACAACAGTTACTTGTGTTACAGTATATGATAAGAAAATAATCACGAGAACAAATCTTATTTTATGAACCATATTCTACCCACTATTCTTGTCCCTTCTACAGCCATAATGGGAGTGGCAGCTTTGCTCTTTTTCAGCTCAAATTCTATCATTTATATAACTTTGTACACAGTAGCATGACTTTGTAGTCATTCCACTATTGCTGACAGTATCTTTATGCTTATTTTAGGTGACTATCTCCTTTCAAAATAATAGTTCATGTTTTATTAGTTTAGTTTCACATGCAGTCCTACAAGCGATTTAAGGTTATGTATCCAGTTGAAATGGAAAAAGCTGAAGTGGCACTACAAAATTGACAGTTATATATTTGCAAGCCATATATTAAACCTTCATTAAGTTAAACCCTCAATTGCTAATAGTTGTCCTTTGTCTTATTTTATAATTCTCAAATTTCTCCTCAATCAAGAGAGAGACTCCATCATAAAGTAACAAAATATAATGTGTGAAACAAAGAGCTCCTTCACACATTTTTTAAAAAAAAAAAACAACAAAAAACACAACCTCAAAAGCACCATTCAGTATGTTGGAGCACAACAAGCTTGAGATGAGTTGGCAAGGACATACAAGTCCCAACTTACTGAGAGAAGAGCAGTTATCCACTAGGTCAGCAAAGCTGCAGGCATATGTATGCACAGGTATGTATGCAGCAGAAGTATTCCAAAGAGGATCCCATACTATGACATTGTAGATCACACCTTGTCCAGGAAGTGAGGAAAAGTAGACATTGGTCTTATCATCAGTTGTTAGCGTAAGCATCTGGAACAGTAAAGAATATTTTCAATTGCAAGGAACTGCTTGTCACTGTGACTGATGGCATGTTGATGTGTCCATACAGCTGAGGCAATACTCAGCAGCTCAAGGAAGTTGATCAGCAAGAGTCCAGGCAAGAGCTCTCCTATTCTAAACCCTCTCATTATTACCAATTGAAGGATTAAAGGCTCAGAGGACAGACTCCACTTCCTTCAGTATTACTGTGTTTTCTGACAGTGGAGAAGGTTCTGCCACTCAGTGTTTTGCTCCTCCCCATTTGAGGCCACAGTTCGGGTCCTCTGCCAGTCTACTAACCCAAGTCTGGTCTCTGAGGCAGGCCAGGCCACCATTCTACTCCCTAGCAAGGCCAGGCAGGCCATGGCGACCGAGATTCTACCCCCTTTGTCCCTTCCAGTCTCTTTGCTGGGTAAAGGTGCAGCAAGTGTTTGCTCTCACATATCAGATCTCTTTATGCCATTTCAAACAGCACTCATTTCTAGTGCAGTTCCACTATATTCTCCCCCCTCCTCTCTTCCTTGCATTCACTGTTCAGTCCTCAGTGAGGATCTGAGCCACATGAGGATGCCAGACCCTCGCATCTAATAGGCACTGTAGGAGCCTATCCATCTTTGTCAGAAGTGCCTCTACTTCTGGATTTACAGGCAGTCAGGGGCAGTACAGCTAAAGGCAAGCTGGCTTCAACATCACTGAAGGAACACTCTGGCTAAAGAAGCACTCAGCAAGCAGGAATACACAGCAATAAGAGCTTGTTTCATTGAGAAAATGGTGCAAGACATAGAAACATCTTGCAGACCAGTTACCAACATCTACCTAATAACAGAGTCCCTTGAAAGTCTTGATTCTGCCACATTTAGGGCTGTGCTAACTAGCCACCTCTATCCCAAGAGAGAGCAGTTGCCATTTTGTATGCATCACTGACTGTGTACTTCCCAGTCAGAAATCCCAGATACAAGCAAGAAGCCTGGAGCATCAGCACCTTGCTTACATCACCAATCAAGGAAAATAAGCACAGGGGAGGAGAAAACATGAGACAGTGCCATTGTCACATGCCTGGTACAACAGTGCTTCAGACTTACTTTAATACCGTTGGCTTTGATACTTTGCACCTCAGACATCTTCCGAATGTGGTTCATAAGGACCATTTCAGAAAGATCATTCTCTGGTAAGAAGTACTGGTAGACTTCATAGCGCAGTCGCCATCTGGAGTTTTGACCAGTCCCTGAATCACAAGATGGTGGGTTTGCTCCTCTACAATTAAAAGAGAGATCAGCTACATGCCCAGCACAAGCTCCCAGATCTTAACATTAGCCTTCAGAAGTTACCTGAGTTGTCAGTATTTGGCTGCTACTCTTTAGAAGTTAAACACCAGCAACTAATTCAAAACTAGATTCTAAATGTTTGTGAGCACAGGCTACAGCAGCATTATGCTGAACCACCCTGAACCAGGTAGTGCCTGTGCTGGTAC